CAAGGGGGGGGGGGGATTTACGGTAAATATTGAACGTTTGCAATATGTTTGGTCATCTCTATATGCCCGTCTCACTCGCTCTACCCTTGGGAGTGGCCTTGCTCTATGCAACGACAAGGCTTCCCCTCCCTTATCGTGGCTGGAGTTGTTGGCTTCATTTCTCTCGCCTATGTGCAATGACAATGAATTGTGTGTCGGTATCTGGTAGACGAGTGATCAGCCTGAGATGGCGCAACCCTGTTCCATCAGGCAACTAGACCAAGAGGAAATCATGGTAATTTTTAGCATGGCATGGTCGAGACATATCAAAAAATATTGCTCTGGTTTTTGGTGCTTCAAACATTGTTTCACATTTTCCTCGTTGAAAATCCTCAGTTTCACCATCATTGGTCAGATGCGGTGCTGACATGGTACATGCACCGTCTCATTGTCGAAGGCATTTTCTTTGGTGTTGTGGTCTGGCGTTCATTGCTTGGACCCAATAACAATATGTGAATTCAAATAACGTGTTTTTCATATGAACCAAAAATGGACTGGCTTACATATCAAAAGATAGCAGAACAAAAAAAAATAGCATCCTGGTGCAAGAAGTAAACTACAAAGATAAAAGATCCAATGATCATCTCAACAAACGCCTCCGCATCTAATGCTAACATCAAGCTAGATGAGTAACGATAGCAAATGGTATATTTTTTAAAAACAACATCGACTTTATTAAGTAGAGATAATGGTTACATCATCTATAAGGAGAGATACAATATTTTTCATAGGCTCCTCAATCCAATCCGTAGCCATGGACATTTTGCTATTCTAGCAAGCTCATGGGCTACTTTGTTTGCTTCTCTATTACAATGCTCAAAACTAGTAATAGAAAAATCACAAGTCATAAAAAAGCAATCCTCAAAAACTGCAGCCGCCGCTCCTGCAAAATGACCTCCGTTTTTCATTGTGTTAATTACTTTCATGTTGTCAGAATTGATAATCAGGCGATTGCAACCCTCCTTTTGTGCCAGTAATAAGCCAAACCTAAGTGCTAGCGCCTCTACTATCAGAGCATCCGCGCAACACTCGATCTTCCAGTTTCCACCTACAATGAAATTTCCTTTGTCATCCCTAATAACAACACCCGTTGTGCCCCTTAGTTGATCATGATCAAAAGAAGCATTCACATTCAATTTACCAAAACCCATGGGAGGTCTGCTCCATCCTCCATTCTTCCTCTTTGCCTTCGGTGAGTAGGCATGTACATAATTTGGTGTTATAGCCCAAATCCCAAACGAGGTTTGTGACACCTCTTGTGACTTAACATCATGAACTAGCTTCCGTCTATTCCACCATAAGTACCACGCAGTTATAGTGATCATCTCCCGTGCGTTCTGGGAGCCTAGTATCGGCAGTTCTTGATCAGGCATAAGGAGTAATGCTAACAGGACTATCTCTCCTGTGCGGTCAACAATGTAGGCTTTTTTAACCACTTCATATAGCCCCAAAATTTCCCACACTTCTTTTGCCTTTTGGCATAGAAACAACATTGTTTAGTATCCTCTTGCCATTCGGACATGCTGGGCAAATGGCTGCAGTTTCTATGTGTCTATTCGCCAGCATCACACGACACAATATAGTCCCATGAAGCGTACGCCAGATAAATCTTTTAACCTTTGTCGGACCAGATAATTTCCATATCTTGCCCCAAATAGGGTTAGCCTTGATTCTACCCATGCCATTTGTATATTCCGATTTCCTCCCATGTTGTTTACTCGATTCTTCCAAATAAGTTGATCATACAATGTAACTGTTTTTAGTGTAGCCCAAGCAATGAAATCCGGTATATTGTGCATTGGGAGAGGAATTGCCAGGACTCTTTGAGCATCAAGTGGCCACAATGTTTGTCTCACCAAATCCTCATTCCAAAAATTTGTAACTGGATCAATAAGAGCAGAAACTTTCATCAGGAGATCCCCTCTTCTAGGTGCAGTGACTCTCCTAGTCGCACAATTTAGGATCCATGCATCTCTCCATATATCAGTATTTACTCCATTACCAACCTTCCATATATAACCATTCTCGAGAGAGTCCACTCCAGCCATAATGATTTTCCAAGTAAAGAAGGAACCCTTTTTTAAACTTGTGCTCATCAAATCATCCACCGGGAAATATTTGGCTCTTAAGATTGTGGCACATAACGATTAAGGATTATCCAGGATACACCAAGCTTGTTTAGCTAACAATGTCAGATTAAAATAGTGTATATCTCAGAAATCCATTCCTCCTTGGTCTTTTCGAACACACATCTTCCACCACGCCATCCAGTGTATCCTTTTCTGATTGTCCTCATCACCCCACCAAAATTGCGACATGGTGTCAATGATTCCTTTGCATTTTTTAAGGAATTTTAAAGACGGACATGTCATAGGTTGGGATAGCTTGAACAACAGATTTAAGCAAAATTTCCTTTCCTCTAGCAGATAGCACCTTTTCCTTCTGTCCACTAATCTTCATAATAATTCGATCAATTAGGAACTGAAAATTGTTGCTTTTATCCATCCCCGCATTGGTAGGTAGCCCCAAATATTTCCCATTGAGTGCCTCAGTCATAATATCCAGGTTAGTACATATTTGCACTTGGTCTTCCATTTTTGTATTTGGGCTAAAAAATATGCTGAATTTTTCGACACTCGCCATTTGCCCCGAGGCGGCACAATAAGAATCTAGAAATGCTCCCAAAGCTCCCCGCGTTCATAGCATTCGATCGCATGAGGATCAATGAATCATTCACAAATAGTAGGTTGGAAACTGCAGGAGCTTCTCTGCTAACTTTTATGCCGGAGATACTACCCATCTCCTCCGCATTAGCTAAGAGAGTGGTCAATCCCTAGTACATAGCAAGAACAAATAGTGAGAGAGAGAGGGCCCCCCAAACATCTTCCCAGAAGAAAAAAAACAAGTCTTCAAGCCAAACATATCTCTAGCATTTTCTGCAAGTTTCTTAGCATTTTATCTTATCCTTCGGTCTTCATCCATAACATTGTTGCCATCATTGTTCGCCTCTTCATATTCTTCATTTATACCACCCTCCGGCTACAGGATTCTTCCTCTTCTCTCGCCCTGGCCATCACCATGAGCCATCAATGCCTCCCTCTGCAGCAGC